TTCCCAATGTCTCTGCCTCCCACCAGTGTCCTCCTGTGTCATCTCCCCGCTTCCAAAGGTGACTCTGCACCTTTCAGCCAACTCTCCCCAGGTGCTATGAGGGTTTCCTCCACCCCATCCATGCAAGCAGTTCCCCCGGTACGCTGAATTCACCTCCTGTCTCTGTGGTCCCAGAGCACGTGTGTGCCCTCTCCTCAGCAGGGTGAAGATGAAGTAGAGCTCTGACCATGGACCATGATGCCCCCACAATCAGGCCCCGTCGCATCCAGAACCAGAATGTCATCCACCGCCTGGAGCGCCGCCGGATCAGCTCCGGCAAAGCCGGTACCCATTGGCACCAAGTCCGTGTCTTCCACCAGAATGTCTTCCCCAACTTCACTGTGGTCAACGTGGAGAAGCCACCGTGTTTCTTGCGCAAGTTCTCCCCCGATGGCCGCTACTTCATCGCCTTCTCGTCTGACCAGACCTCTCTGGAGATTTATGAGTATCAAGGCTGCCAGGCGGCAGAAGACCTCCTGCAAGGATATGAGGGAGAGATCCTGGCCAACGGCAATGACCAAAGATCTGTCAACATCCGGGGGCGGCTCTTTGAACGCTTCTTTGTCCTGCTCCATATCACCAACGTGGCCTCCAACGGGGAGCACTTGAACCGCGAGTGCAGCTTGTTCACTGATGACTGTCGGTATGTGATCGTTGGCTCTGCCGCGTACCTGCCCGAGGAGCCTCACCCTCCCTTCTTTGAGGTTTACCGCAACAGTGAGTCAGTGACTCCTAATCCCCGATCCCCCTTGGAGGATTATTCCTTGCATATCATAGACCTCCACACGGGCAGACTCTGTGACACACGGACTTTCAAATGTGATAAAGTCATCCTGTCGCACAACCAGGGGCTGTACCTCTATAAGAACATCTTGGCCATTCTCTCTGTGCAGCAACAGACTATCCACGTCTTTCAAGTAACACCCGAGGGCACGTTCATTGATGTACGGACTATTGGCCGCTTCTGCTACGAGGACGATCTCCTGACTCTGTCCGCGGTGTATCCTGAAGTGCAGCGGGACACTCAGACGGGGATGGCCAACCCCTACAAAGAGCCCTTCATAAACTCTTTGAAGCACAGGCTGCTGGTGTACCTGTGGAGAAGGGCCGAGCAGGATGGAAGCGCGATAGCAAAAAGAAGGTTCTTCCAGTACTTTGATCAGTTGAGGCAGCTCCGCATGTGGAAGATGCAGCTTTTGGATGAGAACCATCTATTTATCAAATACACTAGTGAAGATGTGGTCACGCTGCGGGTAACAGATCCTTCCCAGGTATTGCCTGCCTCCTCAGGCTGCTCGTTGCTTTGGGGCAAGGGCTGAAGCAGGTACAATGCTGTGAGCTGTGTTTCTTAGCTAAGCCTGTGAATGTTGTTTAGAAATCCCCAGTACTTCGTTCTTGTGAACGTGAACATTTCAGCCTCTGATATTGAATGACTTTTGTATCTTTTGCTCTCATAATGTCATTGCTTCCTTCTCAAGTAAAAATGAGAGAGAACAGATCTGACATGGTTATCGAGTCCCCTTTCTCCCTAATGTCATAGATGCTGTACAATCCTCTTCTCCTCCCAAATCCCCAGCTGATTTTTTTTTTAGCTGCTATTTCATGTAGTACACATATCATATAGGTAGTCTCTCCCTTTTCTCATGCATCTTCAAGCATGTTTTAAATATGATAGTCTTAATTTTTCCTCAGAATTACCTTTTCTATTCCGCTTACATACTTACTCTTTCACGCTTCAGTGAGAGAGAGTATCTATGATCTCTCCAAACTGGAGTAGCAACCCTTAGATCTAGCTAATGTGCCAGTTGCATCTCCTTTCTGTGTAGTACTAAAGAAGTTCAATTAGAGCAAATGTAGCTCAGTCAGTGCTGGCTCCCTCCAGACATTTCACCATCCCGCAGGTTTATCATCTCTTTTCACTACTGTTAAGAGTGGGGGTCAGATTTTGAGCTCTGTGAAACTGAGGATGATGGGGTTTTTTTTAACCTGTTCTATTCCTTTAATCTGCTTGGTTTTTATTCTGTTGAAAGTATTTAGCAAGAATTTGTAATAAATCTTGGTGCTGCATGTAGGTCTGATTGTTCCCTAGGTGTTTGTTTTTCTTTCATACCCTTCTCTTCCTCCTTATCTTTGCCAGATCCAGGACTTAGATCGTAGAAGAAATAGACAGTAGTTCTTTGCATGTTGCCTTAGTCTAATTCTTCCTGGAAGATGACTCTGGCTTGTTTTATTTTCCTCTTATGTGGTGTTTGTTTGGAGAGTTGCTTTGGGAGGGAATAGGTAAGGCTTAATCTAATCAATCTTACCCATTCGTGTAAAACTGAGCAGCTGTCTCAAAAATATTAAAGCTTTGTGGAAGTGGCCTGCAGCGTTCTGCTCATTGCTGGTATCTGAAACGGTGCTCCTAACCCAGGTGTAAGGGTGTGTGGCAGGCTCAGCTCCACTCTCTGCTGTGGTTACCAAGGTTTTTGAGCCTGGTTTGCTGCAGCGTGCTCTTGGCTGCCTTCACCCGAGGGTTACTTTAAGATGCAGGTTGTGGTTGGTTTGTGGCATTCCTCAGGTGGTGTGTTTCATACTGAAGGAAAAGCATCTAATTTCTCAGTTCTTTCAGGAGATAATTCCAGATGTGGAGCAGTCTCCACAGACCTGCCTGAATGTAGGCTTTGTGTTAGGGCTTCCTGAAGAAAGCTTGGCTCACAGAATACATAAAGCTCTGATTTTCTTTCATATGTCCGACAGGAACATGAGGTTTCATCCAATTTCAGGCTCCTCTCTTCTCTATGACTTCTCTGCCAAGAAGATTGAGGAAGTCACTGTTCATGCTTGTGGGTTGCTTGTACGTTGTTAGGGTCTGCACTGAATCCTTCAAGATTTTTAATTGTGTGTTGTGTATATGTAGCTTGGGATTTGTTGTTCTAGGCTTGTGCTGGTAGACTTGACAGCTTTGCTGCGTGGTTTCTGTGACACTAAACTTCTGCCACACGTGCTGTGATGATGTTTTGCCTGTGTTACAGGTGCTACTAAAAAGCAGTGAAGGTAGTTTCTCTGGTCAGGGACATCCTGTAGATGTGTCTGTGTGTTAACCTGGCAAAGGAACTTTTTTATTTAAGGTTGGAGGATGCTCCCTGCAATTTTCAATGATATAAATAGTTTTTCCTTCTGCTGTCTCCTCTTGTTTTCTCTCTGCTCTAACCCTGTATTTCACAAGGGCTTCCATTTCCTTAGGCATAGTCTAGTGAGTAACCTCATCTAGCGCTCTTCATTTTGACATGTGGGGGCTGGTTTGTATTATCACAATTTATTTTGGGGCTGTAAAACAAACAAACCTTGTGATATTTGCAGGTGGGTAGGGTGGGCAGAGTGCCTGCCGTCATCCCTGAGCATTGTTTGGGAGCAGGAGGTGAGGCATTTAGAAATTGCCTTTATTAACAGAAGATTTAACCAGATATGTGCATATAGCATGGTAATTACTTACCTTTGAAGTAAGGGCAGGTTCTTAATTTGGGGTGCCGGGATGTTAGCACTCCTGTCTCTAATGAAAGCTACCTTTGATGACCAAGGATTAAATCTGACCTTTCCCAATGGGACAGGAATGTTGTCTCCCTTTGATATAGCTGTGCTGACACAATGTCACCTTTTCCCCCGATTTCTTGCTCGTTCATGCCATGAAACAACTGTCATTGCCAATCCACAGTGTGGTACCTGGGCCTTCTTACATGAGAATGTCAGCACTAAAAAGAAGTCATTAATGTCTTTCAGATTTTCATTTCTGTGCTGGCAGGGTACCTGGAGGGCAGAACTTTTTGTGGGCAGTGGTGTAGTGCACAGTACACTAAAATGGCTCATCTCTGTGTGATGGAAATATTAGGAAGGGGAAGAATAAAAAGTGTCTGTATGCAAAGGAAAAAATAATTTGTGGCCAGCTAGCACTGGATTTAAAATCATTTTGTCAGC